TCAGGCCTTACCCTTCTCCCCAGTTCCCTTTGCCTTGTTTAAAAAACAAAACAAAACAAAAAAACAAAACAAAACAAAAACCTTGGATTATATTCCTAAAGCTAGCCACCAAGATCTGTTTCTGCATTTGGCCACTTCTTTCCCCTAAGGCTGACTTCCAAGGTCCAGCTATCAAAGTATTGAAGTCCAGTAATCAGAAGCCCCTTGTGGATGCCTTAGTTAATCTGTCAATCAAAATCAAACACTTTATCCTAACATTGGGTTTCCCCTTTTACCTTTTTTTTTAATGCAGTGTTGACTTTATTTTTATTTATTTTTTTAAGATTTATTTATTGCCGGGCAGTGGTGTTGCACGCCTTTAATCCCAGCACTTGGGAGGCAGAGGCAGGCGGATCTCTGTGAGTTCGAGACCAGCCTGGTCTGCAGAGCTAGTTCCAGGACAGCCTCCAAAGCCACAGAGAAAACCTGTCTCAAAAAACAAAACAAAACAAAACAAAACAAAAAAAGATTTATCTATTATGTATACAATGTTCTGCTTGCAGACCAGAAGAGGGCACCAGATCTCACTATAGATGGTTATGAGCCACCCATGTGGTTGCTGGGAATTGAACTCAGGACCTCTGGAAGAGCAGCCAGTGCTCTTCACCTGTGAGCCGTCTCTCCAGCCCCACCCCCCTTTTACCTTTAAACTGCCATTTGCCTATGGGCCACATCTGTCTCCTCTCCTTCCAGACACAGTCCTCTGCCCTTTGGGACAAACACCCCTCTCCCCTCTCTCTTGTTCCCTTCCCCTTCTCCCTTGTCCTCTGCCTCCTGTCTTTGTCCCTTACCCCTCCCCCTTGGCCCTCTGGGGTAATAAATCTCCTTAGTGCTGAGAACTGGGTCTTGGGGTGTCTGTGCTGACACAGGGCCTTTCATATTGGAAACCAGGTCTCAGCTCCGCTGTGCCACAAATCCCAGACACGAGCTAATGCTCTGAGGGTCAGCCAGCTCTGCAGTTTTTATGGACAGCAGTTGTCCTTGTCCATC